GAGTAATGCTGATTCAGTACTGTGACGTGCTCTAAAACCTGACTGAAATCTGTAGATCACAATGGGCCCTTATGAGAGATTGGCACCTTTAAAATATTCCTGGTTTTAAAGAAGAACTCCTATTGAATTAAAAACTGCGTCAGTTGCTTTACACGCTCATCTGCGCCAACTTTATTTTTATTTTATTTTGGTAAAATAGTCAGTAGCAATCGAGTATACATTCTCTGAATGAGCGAGTGTCTGATTAAAGGTTGGTTGAATTAGTGACGCTGTAAATGAGCAGACTGAGTCGGGCCCGTGAACAAAATGTGACGCAACATTTTAATCACTATCTAAATTGAAACTGTTTTTATGCCGAATTGTAAATGACATTATGAGCTATGTGTGAGCGTTGTGTTTCATGTCCTCTGCTGTCCGCAGTTTTATCAGCGAACAGAGAAAAGTTAAATCAGCTATTTCTCAAACGTAGTTCCGCACTCCACATCCTGAGCAGCACCGAGCGTGTGAGTGGAGGAAACAGTTTGACCTTTCACCCCGAGCTCCTCCACTCTCTGACCTCTCCTCTCCAGTTTGACCCGGGGCTGCAGCAGGAGCTCCAGCTGCCTCTTCTGCCGCTCGATCTCCCGTCTGAAGCCCGACGCCTCCTCCTCGTACCCGGCCACAGTCCTCTCCACCACCGCTAAGATCTCCTGCGCGGCCGTGCTCAGCTTCTCGGTGACGATTCCTCGGAGGATTTCCGCCTTCGACATGTTGCCGAGTCGGTCCAGAGTGTCGGAGCCGCCGCTGCTCCTCTTCATCCAGTAAAACATCTTCACTGTGTCTCTGCAGCTTTGATTTCAGGCACAACAACTTTGCACGTTTGCGCGCCGCGGACGGTTTTTCTTCCGGGTTGTGGTGCAGCTCGAAATAATGTCCGGCGAGAAACAAAATCTCTCCTCAGAGATATAAAATATCATTTTCATTCTCAACACACCTGTTAAATGTTCAGCTGTTATTAACTCTACCATGTAGGGTCAGGCACTATATTTAATATATTGGTATCATGATATGAGACCAAATATCTTTATAGATTTTAGATATTGTAACGTAATAAGTGTTGACTTCTTCTGGTTTTGCATTTTTAGTTTCATAAACATTATTTGTTAAATGCTTATCCAGATTCATAACTGTCTGTCTGTCTATCTGAATTATGACTGACACACTGACATATAACTGAAGACATAAGTTTGTGATGTTCTTCATAGTCAGGGATGATGGGCAGTATTTCTATTACTTGTATTTAAAATATGTATTTCAATTACATTTGAGTATTTTGTAATTTGTATTTGATAAGGCCGATAAAAAGCAAAAATTTGTAACAAAATACTTTTGAGTGGAGTAATTTTGTATTTAAAATGACACAACAATAACAATATTTTTTACTTATTTTTTTAAAAAAAGATCTTTTTTTTATCGGTCTGCCTCATGCACCGCCCTCGCTATGTGATGGAGGTGGCCTGGCCGACCGCCCCAAACCCAGGCCTGCGGGAGAATGGGGCCTGGGAGCCACCGGCCCTCCCTCTTCCCTCTAACGTTTATAAATACTATATAACGTTTTACACAAAATGATAGATGGATTAGCAACCGTTTTACTTCTGATGATAAATAGTTTCCATCCTAGACTTGTATGGCTTTTTAACTTGTTTAATTTAAGGTCTAAAAAAAAAAACAGAGAAGGCAATACCGCGATATCATACCATTTGAGTTATTCACAAAAAGATGTGAATTGGTTAGTATAGTGCCACCTATGGACGAATCGTGGCCATTCTTTCTGGTATAGTTACTCATGGTCTCTAGTTGCAGTATGCAAATTTTGAGCATTTTTGGTCAAGGACTTTTTGAGTTATTCACGAAAAGCTTTGTCGACCAACCGACCGACAGAGTGACCTATAGAGCTGCGGGTCACTGCTAAAATGTATTTTTTTTATTTTGATACAAAATACATCCAAATGAATTTGTATCAAAATATATTTTGATGTATTTTGTATTTTGATGCAAAATACATTTTATATCAATATACAAAATATATTTTGATGTATTTAAAATACATCAAAATACATCAAAATGTATTTTACATCGAAATATATTTTGATTTATTTTGTATCAAAATAATTTTTTTTATATTTTGCATCAAAATACAAAAAATGTATTTTGATACAAAATACATCAAAATGTATTTTGCATTTTGATTCAAAATACATTTTATATCAATATACAAAATACATTTTGATTCCTGCAGTCAGCATGTTAACAACACGCTCCATAGGTGTCACTGTGTCATGTGATCTAACGCCACATTTTAATGTGACCGTACAGACACACACCTGTGTAGTAATGATGCTGTATAATCAAAATGTCTATTGAGTGTATAAAGAGAAGAAAATATAGTCACAGTGTTTAATGTTCTTTGGTTAAGTTTTTGTTTAAAAAAACATGAAGCAGCATTCTGAGAACCTTCTCATGGTCACATTGGCGCAAAATCAAAAGTGAATTATGTAGGCAATCTCTAAAATTTGTTTCAGTTTCAAAAATCCCGTCGACAACATACACGCTGTTCAGCACATGAAGCCATTGTTGGTCAGACAGCTCAGCTCTGAAAAATGTTAATGATGATGTGTGGTAATGGTGTTGGTGTGCTATGAGGCCACATCTTCCAGAAAATGTTTTCCCACACTGTTCACACAGGTATGGTTTCTCTCCAGTATGAAGTCATCGGTGATTGTTGAGGTGACTGTGAGTGGAGAAAGCTTTTTCACACTTGTCACAGCCGTATGGTTTCTCTCCTGTGTGACGGCGTTGGTGTACCTTCAGCTTGCCCAGTGAAACGACTTTGAGCTGAAAGGTTCTGAGAGTCAATGAAACAAAATAAATCATTGAAGTATTGAAATTATGTCATTAAAGAACTGACTTTTATTTACAAAATAAAAAGACTAAACATTTTGATGCAAAAATATTTTTTATATATGTCTTAAAACTCCCTGAGTTATTTGAGGTGTGAACATTTTCATGACCGGGCTGATAATTGTTTTCATTCTTTTGGTTTCAGTTGGTGTGTTTTTCGGGAGCAGCGCTGTGATCAGCTCAGTTCAGTTCACATAGTTTCTGTCTCCACAGTGTAAAGTTGTGGATGGTACCAACAGAAGCGTTCCTTAGCGTCCCCATGTTTGGTCCCCCCTCTGTTGGGGTACCTAGCACACAGATCTGGTACTAAAAGGTGGAGCTAGAAACCCTGCGGTCTCTTTACTCCTCTGCTGCTTTTGTTGTACTGTGAACAGAACTGTGTGTGCATCCATGTGACCGTAGCTGTGCATGGATGTTCAATGCAGACAGTATGTCCGGGCCTGGCTAGTTTAATCAGTGATGGATTAATGAATGAAAGAGTGAAACACATGAGAAAGAGAGGAGAGAAGCACCTCAGCATCTTGACCTCTGACCCAGAGACAGAGCTCACAAGAGGAAAAGAAAAGGAAAGAAAACATTACTTCGTCGTTAAATTCAATACCAAGTCCCTCAGTAACAGAGATTTCCTGTACCGACTTTGATCATTTTGTCAATAGCGCCGTAGGCTGGCTGCGAACAACATTCGACTCTGTAGCTCCTCTTAAAAAGAAGTTAAAAAAGCAAAGAAAGTTCGCTCCTTGGTATAACTCTCAAACCCGTAAGTTAAAACAAATATCGCGAAAATTTGAAAGGAATTGGCGATTGACCAAACTGGAAGAATCTCGTTTAATCTGGACAGACAGTCTCAAAACTTATAAGAGGGGCCTCCGCAATGCCAGAGCAAACTATTACTCAGCATTAATAGAAGAAAACAAGAACAACCCCAGGTTTCTTTTCAGCACTGTAGCCAGGCTGACTGAGAGTCAAAGCTCTATTGAGCCTTGTATTCCTTTAGCCCTTAGCAGTAATGATTTTATGAGCTTTTTTAATGACAAAATTCTAACTATTAG